CGCCGAGACCTTAACCCTCAGAGGGTTATACTCAAAGACTATCAGGGCAACTAAATTCCCGTCGTCGGGTCCCACAGATTCCAGGTCTCATTCAAGGACCGCACCGTCGCACTACCACTGACTGTCGTGGATCGAGACAGGCCTAGTCTTCTAGGCCTGCAATGGTTCAGGCCGCTCGGAATCACTGTAGCCGGAGTCCACAAGGCCGAAAGCGTCGATTGGGAGGAAGCACTCGTGCAAGAATTCCAAGACGTTTTCGCGAACGGACTAGGCAAGTATAAGGGGACCCCAATCTCGTTTAACTTGAACCCTGAAATAGCACCCATCCGCCTTAAGCCGCGTCGGGTGCCGTTCGCCTTGAAGCCTAAAATTGACGAACAACTCGATAAGCTGATAGCGCAGGGCGTACTGGAACCCACCAACCACGCCCGTTGGGAAACCCCGATAGTGACGCCTATCAAGTCTGATGGGTCCCTAAGAATTTGCGGAGACTACCGGGCCACATTAAACCACGCACTGCAGCAAAGTGCTTATCCAGTACTGGTAGTGCAACATTTACTCCATTCTCTGGGCGGCGGGAAAGTTTTCGCCAAACTAGATTTAGCCCAGGCGTATCAACAATTGCCTGTAGACCCAACCACAGCCGAGGCGCAAACGATCGTAACACATAGGGGCGCATTCAAATTTAACCGGCTCCAATTCGGAGTAAGCGTCGCCCATGGAATCTTCCAGAGTTTAATGGAAAGGTTGTTACAAGGGATAAAAGGTGTTGTCCCATATTTCAACGATGTACTCATCGCCGCACCTAACAAAGACATCCTAGAAAAACGACTCAGAGAGGTTTTACGAAGATTCCAAAATGCAGGCCTCAGAGTAAAAAAAGATAAATGCCACTTATGTACCGAAAAAGTAGAATTTTTGGGATACCTCCTGGACAGCCAAGGAATTCATCCCACCGAAGACAAATTACGAGCAATTAAAAAGGCACCCACTCCGAGGAACAAGGCAGACCTACAGGCGTTCCTTGGACTTATCAATTTCTATAATGTGTTTTTACCCCACAAAGCAACAGTAGCTGAACCATTGCATAGACTATTAGACAAAAAAGCAACGTTGGTTTGGGGACAACGGGAACAACATGCTTTCCAACAAGTAAAGAAATTGCTAACTTCTGATTCAGTACTTATGCAGTACAACGAGACCCTGCCACTCACTATCACATGTGATGCATCACCTTTTGGGGTTGGGGCAATTCTGGCCCACGTGTTACCAAACGGAGCGGAAGCCCCCATCGCGTTTTTTTCGCGAACCTTAGCTAAAGCTGAACGAAATTATAGTCAGCTGGACAAAGAAGCTTTAGCTATTGTTGCTGCAGTTAAAAGATTTCACGAATATGTTTATGGCCGTGCGTTTACAATAATCACTGATCATAAACCGCTACTGGGGATCATTGCGGGTAATAAACCAACCCCGTATATATTGTCCCCCAGAATGACCCATTGGTCTGAATTCCTGGCGGCCTACAACTACACCTTGCAGCACCGCCCGGGGAAATCGATTCTCCACGCCGATGCATTGAGCAGAACACCACTCCCAGACGCTGTTGTGGATCCAGCCCCAACCCTCTCAACACTACAGATTGAAACTCTACAGGCACCACCCTTGACGGCTAGAGACATTGCTTTTGAAACGAAACGTGACCCAGTTCTGCAACACATACTACGCTGGGTTGAACGGGGGTGGCCGACGGACCAAATTGCACCTGAATGGGCGCCCTTCAAAGCCCGCCAAACCGAGCTGTTTTCCCAAAAAGGCTGTATCTTGTGGGGCGATCGAGTCGTAATCCCTGGCAAATTGCAACAGACTGTGTTGGCGGTATTGCATGAGGGACATCCGGGCATTGTGCGGATGAAATCACTCGCACGCAGTTATGCTTGGTGGCCGGGAATCGACAAAAGAATCGAGGCCTGGGTCGCTACGTGCCAACGTTGCCAGGACGTCAGCAACGCCCCACCGAAAGCAAGCCCAACCGAATGGGAAACACCAAGGGGACCGTGGTCCCGTATTCATATTGACTTTGCAGGGCCTACCAAAGGTCACACTTTCCTGATTACTGTCGACGCCTATTCTAACTGGCTCGAGATTCATCGAATGCACACAACTACAACCGACTCAGTTATTAATAAGTTAAACAGACTATTTGCCACGCACGGGTTTCCGGACGTGTTGGTCTCGGACAACGGCCCACAGTTCACTGCATTGCCCTTTGAACAATATCTGGCTGATCGGGGCATCTGCCATGCGCTGACCTCACCCGCGCACCCTGCGGCGAATGGACGTGCAGAACGCATGGTACAATTTATGAAAAAGACCCTGCATAAAATGGAATTTGGCAACATCGACGAGAAAATCAATCGAATCCTCTTATTGCAGCACATCACGCCCCACAGCGTGACCAACAAAACACCCGCTGAACTTCTTATGGGGCGGAAAATACGATCGCACCTTGACCGGCTCCACCCCGCTTTCGCACCAGAAAAACCTTTCGGCTCCAGCAGCAAATGCTGGGAATTTAAGGTAGGCGATTTAATCTTTGCCAAAAACTTTTCCGGCGACCCGTTATGGATACCCGCAACCGTTACCCACCTCACCGGGCCTAGATCTTACCGCCTGCTAACAGACGATGGGAGGGTGTGGAAACGCCACATAGACCAACTCCGATCGAGATTACCACCCAGCGGCCATGACTCCCCCGGTTCAACAACTCAAGGGGGAGGGAGTATCGAGGGAATTGACTTTGATACAACTAATAGCAGGTCAACGGGAGCCCTACAGCCCAGCGAAGCACCGGAACGTGAAGCGGGGAGGGAGTTGATGTCTTCAGGGAACTTTAATACGGGGGAAAACGAACTGCAAAACCCCAAAGAAACACGCAGTAGCAGAGACAACCACAGTGAATGCAGCACGGAATCGCCGTGCAGCGAAATAGAACTTAACAATGGTCATCCAAACGCTCCACCGGAACCGGACATTGGACAAAACCCGGTGGAGCTTCGGAAATCATCCAGGCAGACCAAACGGCCTGCCTATCTTGAGGATTTTATCACAGCTCCCCTCAAACGGAACCCAAGGGGGAGGGGTGTTGTGAATCAATAAAAGTGAATAACCTAAATGCAAATTAGGGGTTGAAAACCTGCACACTTGATTGGTCCTTATACAACAACTTGGGATTGGGCCAGAACCAGTCCCTGATTGGCCACTTTTGGGACTGTCCTTATTGGTCAGTAGTTGGAACCTGTTGCACATTTTCATTGGTTAATAAGGCAGCAGCTAACCCTATAAAAGGGTTACTGCTGCCCATAGCATTGCTCTGTTATGTCTATCACTTTATTAAAGAGTTGAAGTCACTGGTCAGATGTCTGGTCTCCCTTATTCTCCATACTTAACACATGATATGTTGGGACTTTTTTCCCCTTTGCTAAACCAGGCATGGGAGTGGCCAGCACATGGCACATCCAGCCCGCGGGCCAGGAATTTGACAGCCCTGATCTAGTTGAATTAGAACATTATAGCTTTAGATTAGCAAATTTAGCAACATTAGAGGTAAAACAAGTAAAGGATTGGACTGAATTTTCATTTCATTATGTGTTTTTGGGCTTGATCTGATTTATGCATCCTTTTTGATGCTGCATGTACCAAAAGGAAAGCAAAAGTCTTCTCTCAACACTTTACCTTTCATGTAGGAAAAAAAATATCATTTTAGGTTAAGATAAATATTTGTTTGGGCATTATTAATGTGTTAATGTTCTATCTTCTTGCAAATTAGGATTAGGTTCAAGGTTGACTCAGCCTGTCATCCTTCTGAGGACCCAAATTGTTGGAGGCAATATGTTGACTCTGTAAACTGCTTATAGAGGGCTATAAAGTACTGTGAAGTGGTATATAAGTCTAAGTGCTATTAGGGAACCCTAGAATAGTGGGATATCCTACCTCTAAAATATTCTAATTCTAGGATAGGTTCTACATTCAAGGGATTTTTGTTATTGTTCAGTCACTAAGTATTGTCCGACTCTTTGCGACCCCATGGATCATAGCATGCCAGGGTCCCCCATTCTCCATTCTTCTGGAGTTTGCCCAAATTCATGTTCATTGTGTTGATGATGCTATCTGATCATCTCATTCTCTTCCATCCCCTTCTCCTTTAGCCTTCAATCTTTCCCAACCACTAGAGTCTTTTCCAAAGAGTCTTCTCTTTTCATTAGATCGTGAAAGTATTTGAGCTTCAGCTTCAGTACCTTTTTATTAATGCAAAATAAAGAAGTGGGATTCAGTGGTGAAGTCAATGGAGCTTTTTAACTTTGAGTTTTTATTTTTTTAAATAAAAAAATTTTTTTTTCCATGAATTAGAAATTTAAAATACCCAGTCACAAAAAGATAAATTTAAAAAACTGTAGCTGCCATCTTAAAGGTTTTCTGCATGAAAGAAGATAATTCTATGCCAGGTGCACTCAAAGTAGTTGAGACCAAAACCTATAGCACAATTATCTTATAAGTTTTAAATATGTAGTACGATGAGAATATAGCTGTTAGATCTTATTCAACCAGGATTTGTAAGGGATATATATTTTGGTTTCATAAGATTCCCCTAAATTCCATCCTTCAGGCTGAGTCTGGAATGATACCAAATAAATCTCAAGTGCAAATTATATGTTAGTTATTGGCTAAAATTAATTTTTAATGCTAGTTGTTTGGCTGCTCTGACTCTTTCAGATAAATTCCAGCTTTTTGGTGGAAATCACTTAATTGTGCCCTAAGGTATTGTGGAGTTTCATCTTATGCATTGATCTTAATGGGTTTTGAAGTGGGCATGCCATTCCTTAAGCAACATGACAGAGAAAATAACCTCAAACTTATTTCACCCAGAGTCCAGCTTACTTTATCTGAGTGAAAAATAATAAATTAAAGTAATAATCAGGGTTTGTTTGTTTGCTTGCTTTCAGGTTAACAGGATTTCATCTTCCTCCACCTGTGACCTCCACAAAATCTGTATTTTCATTACGATTAACCAGTGACTTTGCAGTGAGTGCTCATGGATTTAAAGTATATTATGAAGGTAAAGTAATATATTATGAATATGTATGTTAGAACTGCAATAGCTTATGTCAACATTCAATTTTGGAAAACAAGTCATTTATGAACCATAAGGGTGGACAAAGGAGGGCAAATTATAATAAAAGAAAACAAAGGCAACAATTTATATTACAATCATACAATTGATGCTGCACAGTCTGAGATCCTACAATAAGAGCATATTAATTCTATGTATTACTACTTACATGCGCTTACGTGATAACCAGCTGTTTTCTTTTTTCTTTTTAATTATCCCACATTAGTCTAGCCCTTGGTGCTTATGTTTCTTCATCTTCCTTATATGAGACACACAGAGATCATACTGTGAATGGGATAATCATGTTCTGCTGTTTGATCAACCTGATTTATAGCAATTAGAGGCAACCAAGAGTGAAAATCAATGAAACTAATCCAAGGAATGCAACATTGTCGTAAAAAGTACTAAAGAAAGACCATTGTTTCTAACAGGTTGATATACATATAGTGTATAATTAAAAATATTCAAATGATGTTGATACTCTGGAAAGAGTACAGAGAAAAGCAGCAAAGTTTATTAGAGGGTGGAGGCTAAAGCATATGAAGAACAGTTGGGTATGTCTAGTCTAGTGAAAAGAAAGCCTATGAGTGACATAATAACAGTGTTCCAATATTTGAGAGGCTGCCACAAAGAAGAGGGGCTCAACATATTTTCCAAAGTACCAGAAGGCTAGATAAGAAGCAACAGATGGAAACTAACTAAGGAAAGAACCAACCTAGAACTAAGAAGAAATTTCCTGACAATGAGAACAATCAACCAGTGAACAGCTTGCCTTCAAAAGATGTGGGTTTGCCATCACTGAAGGCTTTTAAGAAGAGACTAGACAGCCATTTGTCTGAAATGGTAGGGTCTCTGGCTTGTGCATGGAGTAGGACTAGAAGATCTTCAAGGTCCCTTCCAACTATAATGATGTTCTATGTTCTACTTCCTTCATAGTAACCTGAGACTCTCAGATGATACTATAGTGCTGCTTAGGCTATTTTACGATGGAATGATTTTTTTCCCCTCTCTTTAATGAATGAGCATTTCCGCTCAGGTCAGTCACTGTTTGCTCCACTTGGAGCCAATAATAAATAAAAAGGACAAAATATTAGAATATCTGATGTGATATCAGTCTGGATGGTTGAAATTGTGATGGGCTAGGGAACCTCCTTGTTCCCTGAAATGTGTTTTTCCCTCATTTATTTCCTTGCAAGTTCTACATTGCCACTCTTTTCAATGGAAAATGCTGTTTTATTACCTTTGGTTTCCTTCCATCTCTCTGATTATCTTTGAGTTCAGTATTGTACTTGACCCTATTTGAGTGTTGTGGCATGAGCCTTTGTGTTTTTTCATCACTGGTGTTTCAGGATTCACTAATATTTGATTAAATTACAGATATATATTTAATAGATAATTATACTCTAGAGAAATCAATGTAAATTGGGCCATTTTCCATGCCAGCTTCCAGTTTTGGCATCCTTTTATTATGACAGCACATAGAGTTCTATCAGGGTGGCAACAAGAAGCTAGAATGATTTTCTTTTCCAATCCAAGCATGACCAAGAAAGGAAATTGAGTTATAACTTAAAATAAGCTGAAGAATATTCAATTGAAGGGAAAATATTGTAACTCAGAATTGAAATGAGGGATCTCTGAACTAAGTAACATAATCAGTACTAGTGCTAGTGATCAGTGGTAGTGCTAATGATGTTACCTAGTTTGGATAATGAAATGTCTGCAAAAAAGCAACCAACCTCAAAGACTACCAATAACATTCTATTTCTCATTTTCTGTTGCCTTGGTTCTGAGAAGGGCTCCATTTCTCCTTATTTATCTCCTGCAAAACAATTCCTTCATGATATAACCAGATAAGTATTAGAACCAAGATGGCAGCCATGTTGCTTGGATAAGAGAAATCCAATTTATTTTTCCAGCTAGCAATGCACAGTGACTCTAAAATGAAAATGGAATAAATTCCATATTGAGCCCCTGGAGAAAACATGATGAAATTAAGAATAAATAATGTTCTTCACTTATAAAATGGAGCCTTTCTGGATTATAGAAGGATTAGAAATTGAGTACGTGAGGGGTTTCAAATATTTAGGTGCTGTCTTCTAAGATTCAGGGTCAGAGAAAGCAACATCAATATGGTAGCACAAGCTCAAAAATAGGTTTTTCAGCCATCTTAGGATTCTCCCATTCAAAAAGAGGAGAATGAATCCTTACAGCTTTCAAATTATTCTCAGCCAAAACCTCTGGCTCAGCTGCTCCCAGCTAGGCCCATATCCAAATTATACACAGATGGAAATTGTATAAACCAAGTTCATTAGAGCACTGTTCTAAGCTCCAAATGTACATCTAATACAATTCTGAGTTTGAAGCTGGTCAAATGAGAATTGAGGTCAGAGCATGGTTATTAATCTTTAATTACTTTTTAAATGCCATTATTTTCCAGCTGGGCTAATTCCATCCATTTTTTTTCCAAATGAATTTGAATCCTCTTGAGACTCAAGCAATAGATAAAGATCTTCTATCTTGCGGCCTCTTCCTTGACTCTTTCTATCTTCTTCATTTCATTGAGTTATTAAAGTTATTAAAGAAAGGCACTTAGTCATTGAAGCCCAGAATGAAAGAGGTCTCATCCAAAATGTATTATGTCACATCTGGACTACTTCACTCTACATGGGGCTATTCTTGAAGAACATTTGGAAGCTTCAACTGGTGTGGAATGTGGCAGCTTGGGCAGTTCTTTGAGTCCTTAGGATGGTCAGTACTATACCACTGATCCATATGCTACACTGGGTGCCAGTCTGCTTCTGGATGCAATTCAAGCTATAGGTTATTGCTATAGGTTATTATCTTTAAAGCTCTGCAAGGAATGGTTCCAGGTTAATTGAGGAACAATCTCATCCCACTGGGACTGGCCTGCCCCATCCACATTGGCACAGGAGGCAGGTTCTGGGCCCTGTTGATTAAGGAAATCTGGCTGGTGGGGTCCAGGAGAAAGCTGTAGCTCCTGCCCTTTGGAACAGCTTATTCCCTGAGGTGAGATTGGCATCCACCTTCGGACCTTCTGCAGAAGTCTGAAGACTTGGTTCTGCCAGATGGCTTGGGACCCAATAGGGGAGCATCACACTGCAAGTGGTTGATAAATTAAGAGGCAATCCCATTTCTCTCCCACACATCCTGTTCCCTCCCCATCTTTTAACTATATTTTTATTTTGATGGGGAATTTTTATTTTTATTGTTTTAGAGATATGTATTTGTTAGGATTTTAATGTTTTAATGTTGTAAGCCACCTGGAATCATTTCGTTATGAGATGGACTGCAAATAAATTCAACACACAGGCAGACAGATAGAAGATCCTAGTCATGGAGTTCAAAACTTTAGAGACTGGTCTCCTAAAAGTAGTGGCAACACTGTAGATTCTACTTGAAAACCATTAAATACTAGATATTTCTAAATTCAGGAAAAAAAAAAAAAAACCTCTGATCTGTGTAATTTCCTGGGGTCCCTAAGGTCCAGATGTTTTGGGAAAGGTTAACTCACTAAATTTAACATGCCAGGCAAGCAAGCAATTCAGTTTCTTAACCACAGTAAGATTTTAGCAAGAATGCCCCTTGATTTGCAGTGAAACCAAGCATTCAGAACTGGCTAAGTCTGTAATACAAGATGAATATGAACTTTAGAATCATTACTACACAGGGCAAAATTGTCTGATAGTGCTCTTAAGGTTCCAATATTCACTTCATTAATCTTCACAGAATGGGATATTAATTAGAAAGATAATTAGGATTCCCAGCTAATAGCTGAGAATTGCAGCAATAATTTTTGCAGTGCATTGTTCTACATTGCTCAGTGATAGTCCAAAACAAAATTGGTCTGTTTTCATTATTGTTGTTTTAACATAGAAATGTGATGACACACCTAAGTTAGCTTCAATAGGGGATGTGCAGCAGTGAAATTTAGAATCCTGTGCCATCCTCCATGACAAAAGTTGTAAAAGCCCATGTACAAAATCAACTTTCCAATATTTTGAAAGCCGAATAATAGTTTTAAAAAATTAAAACAGTTTGCAACAATTTGCAAGTTCCTCAAAATAAAAGAAAAAGTGTGTGTGTAAATAAAACCAATTTGGTATAGTGGTAAAGCACCATGGTACACACCAGGGGTGGGATTCACATTTTTTAACAACTGGTTCTGTGGGTGTGGCTTAGGTGGTGGGCATGGCTTGATGGTCATGTGACTGGGTGGACATGGCTTGGTGGTCATGTTATTGGCTGGGCGTGGCCAACTCAATATGACTCACATTGAGGCACGCATCTCCTCACCTTGCCTCTCATGACTGTGGGGATGTTGCAATAGTCGTAAGTGTGAAAAATGATCATAAGTCACTTTTTTCAGTGCCATTGCAACTTTAAATGGTCACTCCACACAAGCAAAGTACCAGCAAAGGAGGGGAAAAAAACTCCAGAGCCGTTCCTGAGACAGGAAGTCTAGTCCTTCCAAGAATGTAATAAGGGTTAACGGAGAGGCAGTTTCTGTAAGCAACACCAGAATGTTTCCTTCCTGCCTTCCTTACAGGATTAGGCCAGTAATTTCTTCTAACAACCAGTTCTCCGAACTGCTTAGAATGTTAACAACTGGTTCTAGCGAATAGGTGCGAACTGGTAGAATCCCATCCCTGGTAACCACCCAGAGTAGGTGAAATCCAGTCCTGCCTTAGGCACAAAGCCAGCTGAGTGACTTTGGACCAGTCACTCTCCCTCAGCCCTAGGAAGTAGGCAGTGGCAAGCCACTTCTGAATTGTTGCCAAGGAAATGGCAGGGACTAGTCCAGGCAGTCACCAGGAGTCTAAATTGACTTGAAGTTGTCCACAGCCATAGACAATTTTGTAAACCATAACTCAAAACAGTCTTATCAAATAGTTTTAACCAGGGATTGTGCTGTTTTGGATTGGTTT